GGGGGGGGTTGTGAGTGGGGTGCAGGGGGGTGCGGTGGGGTGCGGTGAGGTGCGGGGGGGCGGGGAGCTCGAGGGGGCTTTAACACGACATACTACAATACCTTAAGATACTATGGTTTAGTGATTTTAGTGTTATGATATGAGAATATATATATATATACTATATGTATATATACATATATATATAATATCATAGTATAGTACAGTATGGTTTCAAATGATAACAAGACAATCTAACAAAGATGTTATTAAGTAATGGAATATAATACAACGTAGCGCAATTTATCCCCATAATCAATAAATAAATAAATAAATAAATATATATATATATATACACAAGCCGTATACCTATGTTGATTGTATATATGTGTACTATATATATATATGTATATATATATATATAAACACTACATGTCTTAATTTATCTTTTATATGTCATCAGCTTGTATTTTTTGGATTTGGTGCAATGACTTACATATCTTCAGAATCTACGTGTGTATACATATACATGTATATTTGTTGATATCGTTGTCATTATGTACAGCATGATTTACATTGTGTTGCATATTCTACTTGTTTCTATATCTATATATGTTATAACTTTCAAGTTCTTTAACTGTATGTCTGTATAAACATACTTTACAGACCAACTCAAATATTACATTCTAAGTTATTTAAGTATATGCTCGACGCTCGACATTGTACAAGATGGCTATATCTTGTAGATTACGTATCAAAGATATATACTATGTAAATACACACACACACATACACATATATATTTATTCGGCCTGTTTATCATGTTGCTCCACAGCCACATGTACGTAGAATTTGGTAAGCGGCATATAAGCTTGGAACCCCACATACGTTTTTATGTCATCATTTTTTTAATCTTTTATGCTATTGTATTGTATTGTGTCATAAGTGTATAGCATTCAATATTGAACAAACGTATTTAATACGTATGAATTACATAATATACGTTTACAAAACATACAATGTCAAGCCTTTTACTTCACATTATAGTAGAACATAGCACAATATAATTTGTAGTGTAACATAATGAAACAATCTGGACTACTAAAGCATGTGATGACATAGGGTGATGCCTATCAATGTATCATGAGAAAATATAGCAAAGTGAATAGAATATAACATAGTACAACATAGTATAATATAACCCAACCTAATATAGTACAAGATTGATTTAATCTAATATAGCATAATATAGTATATCAGAACATAAAATAATATCGTATATCCAAAAATTATACAAGACAAAAGGATAATATACTATGATATGATATAATATAACATCATACAGTATAGCAATATCGAACAGAACAAAACCCACTATCATATGTTGTATATAACATGCTTTAAGGTTGTATGGTGGAATGTGTTATTTTGTACCATAGCACAATAGAGACGAATATTCGTATTTTTGATGTATATCAAACATAGTAATGCAAATTAGCTGTCTATGAATATATTAGCCATTAAAGTTCTGCATAATCTCGATATAGTATACCGATAAACATATAGCAATGCTAGTCTTTTTCATAGAACATTAGACTGAACTATACATATTTTGTAAAAAAACAAACCTGGAATTTACTACTGATTTAAAGTTTGTACAATCTCAATATACTATCATACTGAATTACTGAATTAATGCCAATATCAAACATAGTAAAGTATTTGTATGATAGATCTCGTCTAATCTAAGCTAATTCATGTCAATACGGTATGTTGCGTAGGCTAAAGCTCGTTCTGCTTTCCGCCTGTACATTGCTTCGAAGCCCACTGGTACGTACCACCCACCCACCCCCGCCCACCGCCACCCCTCACCCCACCCCACCCCACCCCACCCCACCCCACACCCCACCCAACCCCCACCCACCCACCCACAGCCAGCCACCCGGTGCAAAAAAAAGGCAAAGCAAAAAAGGTGAGCTGTTCTGACTTGTCAGGCCTGGTTCGATGGCTTGAACAGTACTGCCGTTGAGATGTAGCAACTGAGAAACATAGTTTCTCAATCATTTGGCATCAAGGCTGCTGTTGGTACTTTTGCCAGACTCGTCAGAAATTCACGCTCCCAGCCGTTGGTAGCCCTTGCTTGCTTCTTTCGTGCCAGGGCCTGCCAGCAGGCAGCCCAAGGTTCTACATCGCAGCAGGGGGCTTAAGATGCTGCGTGCTGGAACGCATATAGTCCGCAGTGAGATCTGCTGTTTGTATTTCAGGCTGGGGGCACTGAACACTGACAGCCTTCGTCTCCGGCGGTGGCCTCGTGGGGCCTTCGAGACATCGCAAAACTCGACATGTTCCAAGGCACAACCTTGCCGTAGCGTGCCGCCTCGTTGGTGCTGCTGTCGTTGTCTCAGAATCATCGGAGATTTCTCTCCAAGCTGTCGACAGTTGTCGACAGTGTCTTCGCAGGCCGATGCTGAACAAAACTTCAAGGCTGCCTGGGAAGGCCGATGCCGCACTTTGGGGCCCGAGACTCAGCCCAAGGCGTCACGAGCCTGAGACATCATGAGATCCTGAGGCACAGCCATCCAGCGACGGCTGCGAGCTCGGCTTCCTGAGCTTCTTCAATTGTATATCCTAGGATGCCCCTGATGCATTGTCAAACGCTGTGAAGGTCTCAGCCTAGAGCGTGAAAGCATAGAGGCATAGAGCGTGTCGAGCCAACAAAGTGTCAATTCGCGGTCGTCCTCCGGGGCATGCCCTTGTGTCTCCTTCTGACAGGAACTGCTGAGGAAGAGTCTCACCTACAACTTGCACGTGCTATGGACAAATTAAGAGCCAGATGCCAGGCAGCTCTCCACTTCACGAAAAATCTCTCAACGCATTTACCCACTGGGTTTGAAACCAGGCACCGCGGCAGCAGGAACAGTCAATAGACACACGCAGGCTTCCACCAAAGTTCCGGGGTTTGCTTTCTGTCGCTAGTCTTGCTGCTATAGCTGTACGGCTTTGCTACCACTAATATCTTTCCCGTCGGGCTGATGGCTCTGCTGATTCTACGTTTTCATGCTGGCTAGTATTCTATCTTTGACTTCAGCTGATTGTTTGTTTGCAACCCGTGACACATTCCAGTGGGAATCCTTTGACCATCCACTCCGTCCCCCGCGAGGTAAGCCTGGCGATGCGGTCCATCCCCCCAAATGTCACTTCTTGCCAGTTGAGATCCGAGAATCAGTGAATCAGGTCAAGCCTGAAAGCCTGAAGTTGAATGTGAATCAGCTTATGGCTAGACATTGCCACCCCCTTTACTTTTCGAGTGTTCGGGTGTGCTGGCCAGTTCCCTTTTCTGTCATCGTGTGCTATCGGTAGCTGCTAGACGAAATAAGTTTGGGCTTTGTGCCCATCGCTTTTTCCGTAGAGTAGCCATCATTCATTTCAGGGCTTGGCGTTTACACCCATAGTAAATCGTTTTTGGAGTTTAGAGACGCCTATCCATCATGTCTTGTCCCTCTTCGGGTTGCTATCCTTGAGGCATAGGGGTTGAGGATCTTCCTTTCATGACTCCTGTGCTGTTTCCGATCTGGAAAAGCTTTGCACTCCATCATGCATGTCTTGGATGGATTTGAGATTGCTGCTCCTGTTTCTTGACGTTGCTGTTTGATCACCTCGCTTGGCCAACACGTGTTCAACTATTCGAGACTCTCCTCCGTTGTATCGGTCAAAGTTCAGGGTTTACTCTGCATCACAAGACTTGAATTCTACGAGGAATGATGGGTAGCCAATTTCCAAATCCCAGCAAAGTCAGGAGTGATGGTCGGAAGCTCGAGCCAAGCTCAGCGGACCGAGTATCACCGCCACCACCACCACCGCCGGCCAGCACCAGCACCAGCACCAG